ATGCGTATAACATGTTTAGATGAATTAAAATTATCTTGAAATTTAAATTAATAGAGGTTATTGAAGCGGTAATTATTAAAGATTTGTAAAGAAACTTTATTTATTAAACTTACAATAATTATTACAGTAATTATTATACACTTTTATATAATACTTTTATATAATACTAACATACTTTTATATAATAAAAGATAAGATACCATATTTATTTTCATCAAAGATTTTCGTGAATTTTTTGTTTAAGATTAATTTTTTTTTAATGAAAATGGGTCGGCCTCCGAAAGTTACCAAAGAAGAAGCTGTCTCTTTGATTGGAATATACATGGAACATTTTCGAACTAACAAATTTCCTGAATATTCATCTGCGATATGGAAAAGTATGAGCAAAGATGTTGACAACAGATGGACACCACATTCCGTATATAATCATGTTCGAGAAAATAAACGAGGTGATCTCGTAGAAGCTCGCCAAAATTTAGGCATAATGACACCTGCACCAGGAAAAAATATTGAGATGGTTGATAATTTTGAATCTATTATTGATGGGTATAGTGTTAGTGAGTCTATTATATCAGATGATCAGTCTGAGTATCAGGATGACAATTATAATGAAAATGGTAATGAATGGTTTCATTTAAAATTAAACAAAACTGAATGGGAAGAGATAAAACCAAATAATACTTGTGCATGTAAGAGAATGACATTGAAACCACGCGTTTGGGGAAATGTCATTGCCAAAGCCTTTTGGCGGAGATATAATTTTCCCTGTGCATTTGTATTCAAATGGTCAAGCGTATCGTATCAATCTAATGATAAGGAATATAAATCTTATTTTTTAAAAATTAAAGGAGTATGCAAAAGTAAAAAATGCAAGAATAGATTTTTGGATATTGCTGACAAAGATCCAGGATTGGGTGATCTCTATTTGAGAATAAAGACTCGTGATACTCGACAAGAATATCATGAAAATATAAAAAGACCATTGAATGGTGAAGAACGAATAATTGCTGGACAGCAATTAAGTACTCAGAGTGCTGCAGTATTTCGTCGAAAACTTGCAAAGGATATTATGGAATTTGGAGATGATGAGCCGTATTTTCTACAATCAAATAAAATTTACAGACAGGCTAAGCTGGAATATATTAATAAAGAACTGGGAATTAAACACCAGGATAGAAGAGATATCATTAAGTCAATTGAAAATATGTCTACTGAAATACGTTATTTAAATGTCATTCGTGAAGTAAGTTCTAATCCATTTCACGTGTTCTATTGTACTCCACCTCAGCTTCATATCTACCAAGAATTTCGTCGTATTACCAAGAACAGATCTGAAATTTATATAGATGCAACTGGTAGTTTGATAAAAAAATTTGAGACTTGTTTAGATCGAAAATCAAATCATATTTTTTTGTATTCAATAGTTATTAATTTTGAACAAACGACAGTGGCAGTGAATCAAATGTTGTCAGAGAAACATAATACTGAATTTATTAAATATTGGCTCAAAAGCTGGCTGCGTATGGGAGCTTCTCCACCAAAGGAGGCTTATTGTGATTGGTCTCGTGCTTTGTTAGCAGCTTTATGTGGAGCATTTAATCAACAGACAATCAAGAATTATGTTGACTCGTTGTTTTTATCAGCAATAAAGAAGGATAATACGGCCAATCACGACCAATGGCGACCAGTTACATTCTTAAGAATAGACTTAGCTCATGTAATGCATTTTTGTGCTAAATGGGAATGCATTAAGAGTCAGAAACATCCATATTTGAAAAGTTTTTACCTTCGCACAATTGCACTGATGATTGACTGCCAATCTGTTGAAGAATTCAAACGAGTCATGATGTTAACATGTGCTGTAGCACTCCAACCTTACGAAAACACTATTATTATTTTACCAGAGTTTCAACTGTCAGTTAAAGAAGCAAGGCAAACTCTTGAAAAATTTATATCTGTACGAGGTCCTATAATCGAAGAACTAGAAGCTTCAGCAACTTCTGTTGTTGGTGTAAATTTTTAACATAAAAATACATACATCTAACAACTATTTGAATATTTCTTCTAGACGTGAAAATAGTTTGTGTTAATTTATAAGATGTATACGTTTATTCGTTTAATGAATATTTTACATACATCTCTATATTTCAGCCAAGATCCTTTGGATATATATATATATATATATTATCTATAGATATGTATGTAGATAATACATGATGAGGTCATTACAATTCTTTTACATTTTACAATGTATAAAAATAAAATTACATGTTCTCTATACTTATTACACTATATGATAAAAAAGATTCTCTCATTATAATCATTGTAATACATAAATAACCCATGATAAGTAATCACAGTCTTATCATTGTATGATTTCATCACAGTTTAAAGATCCTTATATAATAAAAGTATTCTCGTGGCATTATAGTCATTGTACTACATAAATATAACTCCATGAGAGGTAATCACAGTCGTATCATTGCATGACTCCATCATAGTTTTAAGATCATTACATAATAACCAACGACCTGTAATTATGCCACGTCTCGTCCGGATGGATATAAATGTAGTAGCGTTCCGCTGCGTTATCCTCAACAGGGTTTAAAGCTCATCCGGCCTTCTACGCACTGCCTCGCGCCTGCGCGGGCCGCCATCTTCATTGTTTTCCTGTTGCGTGATTCTTCAACAGTCAATCGACAATATTACAGCTTTTCAGGTTGGTTTTTGCTGCTAAAATGGGAAAATCATCGCATAAATCGAAAAAGAGAAGGAGATCGTCATCCAGGGACCGTTTGGCAGCCCTCGAAGCAAAGGTAGCACGTCTAGTAGAAAGTTTATCGCGTAGTGAGGTTAGTGGCTCCCGCTCTCTTTCTTCTTCGTTACGATCGGTGTCGACGGAAGCTCGTCAAACCGACAAGTGGTCAGGCATCGAGTCGCAGCCTGAAAATATTTGCTTGGAAGAAATTTCGAACCAGGAAAACTGTATTCCAAGAGATAACTCATTGGTAGTGCCTGCGAGACAGGAAAGGCCAGGAGATTCGCTTACAGGTGTGTATGTCATTCCATATCGGCATTTTTAGAGTGCGAATGGTAGGACGACACAGCCTTTTCCGAATGATCGGAATAACCTATCCTCTGTTGCAGTTCTGGTAAGTAGCGAGGGTGAGTGTTCCCCTGCGCCCCCGCCAGTTGAGAGTGTCACGAGGGCAGTTCTGCCCGTGACTATTACTCAAAACGAGGATCTAGCGAATGCTCTATCTAAGGAGTTATTTGGGGCCGATTCAGAAGACTTAGTCGAGCACGTTTGGAATGAGCACGTTATCGCTAAGTGGCGGGAGCTGTCAAGCAAAGGTATGCAAGCAGACGAGCGAACTGTTTTGTTGAAAAAATACTCCCCTCTGGAAACTTTGGCTTTTTTGAAGGCCCCTAGTTTAAATCCAGAATGTAAATCGGCTCTAAAAAATAATTCTATCATAAAGAGAGACGAGTTCAACGCAAAAGATCAGGACCAGGTAGGCATCGCCTTATGCGCTTTCGGAGAAGCTATCTCTGATTTCCTTAAGCCGGAATTGCAGCTCTCATTGAGTTCAGAAACTCGTTCGGCAATAGTAAAGGTCCATGAAGGCGCAAAGATCTTGGCGGATCTTTTTTATCGTCTTTCATTATCAAGAAGAGCGCAGATCAAACCTGCATTTAACCTCCTGGCGAAGACAACAGTGGACGTCATCCCGGCGGATAGCTTGTTGTTTGGTACCTCTTTTGGGGAAGAGATTAAAAAAGCATCGGCCATGGAAAAATCTTCCAAGGATATAGTTAAAACTCCTTTAGTGATACAAAAGAAGGTATTACAACCAATTAAGCAACCAGGTCAAGTAGCTGCTTCCAAGGAGGGAAACGCTCGCGCCCCTGCTCCGAGGACAAAACCAGCGGTTGCGAGGAGGGCAGGGGCATCGAGCAGCAATCGCAGAGTGTCCTACCGCTCCAGGTCTCACTCGAGGAGACACTGAATACCGTCCAGGTAAAGTTAGCTGGCAGATTAGCTTTTTTCTTCCATAAATGGAAAGAGATCACCTCGGATTCTCTAATTCTTGAAGCTATTTCTGGTTATAAACTTCCCTTTAGAGTCTCTCCACCTCCTCAGGAGATAGAACCGTCTACAATCCTATCTAGGTTGGAAGAAGATATCTGTCAGCAAGAAATTATTAATTTAAGTAACAAGGGAGCAATTGAGCTCGTGTCGGATTGCGAGGATCAGTTTTTGTCCTCGTTCTTTGTAATTAGAAAATCTCCTGGAGGATGGAGATTTATTTTAAATCTTAAGCGCCTCAACGAATATATTATCGCTCCTCATTTTAAGATGGAGGATTGGAGGACGGTTGTCAATCTTCTGTCACCAAATGATTTTCTTACATCTATTGATTTGCAGGATGCATATTTTCTAATCCCTATTCATCAAGAGGATAGAAAATTTCTTCGTTTTCGCTTCCGTTCTCAGCTTTTTCAGTTTAGAGTACTACCGTTTGGCCTTGTATCAGCTCCTTATATTTTTTCAAAGATTTTAAGACCAATTCTGCACACCCTTAGAGAAAAAGGTTTTTTCTCAGTAGCTTATTTGGATGATTTTTTACTGATCGGCCCATCGTACGATCAATGTCGAAATAATGTTAGAGCTACGGTTAATCTTCTAACCTCTTTAGATTTCATCATTAATGAACGTAAAAGCATGCTGACTCCATCGAAAGTGGCCAGATTCTTGGGTTTTACCTTCAATACGAACGATTTCTCAATTGCAATTCCACAGGATAAAAGACTTAAACTATTGGAAAAAACAATAGCTATATTAAACTAAATCATGTAAGATTCGACTTTTTGCAAGTTTTATCGGTTCTTTAGTTTCAGTTTGCCCTGCTGTACAGTATGGTTTATTACACACTAAGATTTTGGAGAGAGAAAAATTTCTTGCTCTTTTAGCAGCGAATGAGAATTTTGAGGCCCGAATGTCTCTACCTACCTCAATTAGAGAAGATCTCCTTTGGTGGAAGAATGTTTTCACGGATTACGCACAACGTAATAAGATTAGATCGGGTCTCTTTATTCGAGAAATTTTTTCAGATGCATCGCTGACGGGATGGGGAGCAGTTTGTGGGAAATCGCGAACTCATGGATTCTGGTCGCCGGAAGAAAAACAGAAACATATTAATTTCCTCGAGCTCTTGGCAGTTTTTCATGCCTTAAGATGCTTTGCCTCAGATTTAAGAAACGGTAACATTCTCTTAAGGGTAGACAAGTCAACGGCTTTATCGTATATCAATCGCATGGGTTCGATTAAGTTTTCGACTTTGTCAAATCTAGCTAGACAAATATGGATGTGGTGTGCAGATCGCGACCTATTTGTTTACGCTTCTTACATCCCCTCCGCTCAGAATATTGAAGCGGACGCGGAATCTCGCGTAATTTCAGAAGAGTCGGAATGGGCTTTGAATCAAGACTATTTCTCAGAGATCGAAGCATATTTCGGGCCTTTCGATATAGATCTGTTTGCCACATCAATCAATGCCAAGTGTCCTTGTTTTGTCTCGTGGCTTCCTGATCCTTTAGCTTTCGCAGTAGACGCATTCTCGATAGGTTGGAGTGGGCTATATTTTTACGCATTTCCCCCGTTTATTTTGATTTTGAGAGTGCTTCGAAAGATTATTTCTGATAAAGCAGAGGGTGTTATAGTTGTTCCCTGGTGGCCAGCATAACCATGGTTCCCTCTCTTTAACCGCCTTATGATTAATCAACCAATCCGGTTTGAGCCCGATATTAATATGCTATCATCTCCTTTCAGGGAGATTCATCCAGCATGGAACAGGATTTCCCTGGTGGCCGCCAAATTATCCGCCAAGCATTCTTAGCTAGAGGAACTCCAGCTTCAGCGTTAGACGCAACACTTGCATCACTTTCAGAAGCAACAATCAATCAATATACCAGGCCACTCAGATTATGGTGGAACTTTTGCAAGATAAAGGAAATTAATTGTTTCTCACCACCTTTTTCTCTTGTGCTGGAATTTTTATCTTCTTCATCTCTAGGCAGGATCTCATACTCCTCTTTAAATACGTATAGAGCAGCCATCTCTTTGATATCTTCTAATGAGATTGGCTCTCACCCTTTGATAAAGAGATTTTTTAAGGGAGTGTCAACGTTAAAACCTCAGACCCCACGTTACGATTTTATTTGGGACCCATCTCCGGTCATCGCCCACTTAGCTTCGATGTATCCTCATGAAGAGCTTTCGCTAGAATTAGTATCCAGAAAATTAGCGACCCTTCTAGCGCTTACAACAGCGCAAAGACTACAAACTTTGGCGGCAATACGTTTTTCTAATATTGTTTTTGCGGATTCTTTAGTTATTAAGATTCCTGCTAGGCTTAAAACTTCCAAGATTGGAAGACCACAGCCTCTTCTGGTATTCAAGCCATTTTTAGACAAGCCGGAGCTCTGTATCTACTCGTTAACAGGTTCTTATATTGAGCGTACTAAGGAACTACGTCCCGAAGATGCCAACTCTTTATTCATTGCTGTTCGTTCTCCATATAATTCGGTATCCGCGCAGACATTGGGCCGTTGGATTAAAATGGAGCTAAGAGCAGCGGGAGTTAACACCGCAATATTTTCGGCCCATTCTACACGGCATGCTTCAACTTCTTTTGCCGCCGGCAAAGGCGTTAGTGTAGATGAAATCCGTCGAACGGCGGGTTGGAGCAAGTCTTCGGAAGTATTCGCTCAGTTCTACAATCGTCCGATTATTGCAGATCAGACATTTCAGTCAGCAATTCTCAGTTCTCATTGATTTGGAGAAATTCTTTTTGTAAGTAATTAATCTGTAATATTGTCTTTGAGAAGATTAAAGTATTATGATATAACACTTTTTTCTCCTATCTACAAATCTAGGTTTTAAATTTCTACATTTATATCCATCCGGACGAGACGTGGCATAATTAGAGAAACGAACGAACTTACTGTGAAGTTCGATTATAATTATGCTGTCTCGTCCGGATGGATGATCCCACCCACTACCACCCTTATTTAGATTTGTAGGTTTTTTAAAACAATGAAGATGGCGGCCCGCGCAGGCGCGAGGCAGTGCGTAGAAGGCCGGATTTTCATGAGCTTTAAACCCTGTTGAGGATAACGCAGCGGAACGCTACTACATTTATATCCATCCGGACGAGACAGCATAATTATAATCGAACTTCACAGTAAGTTCGTTCAATTCTCTAATTCGCCGGCAGTAAGCTACGAAATGACCAGGGATATAATCGACAACACCTATTAATCTAAAAATGAAAAAAAGAACAATTAATACGATTCTTTTTCTAATTCGCTAAGACTATAAACTGCATACCTATATTTTCTCTCCAATTGTAGAACAATAGGAAAATCACTTTAGAGTACATTGCATTCCAGTAGTCATTTGGATGTGTGGTCTTACGTCAAGTTCGATGAAAATGTGGAAATTAGTCCGATTAATTTCGGTAGTGATTCCATAACAGTTCCTTTCTTGACATTTAATATTTTCAATACATGAACGAAATTGTATAGCTTTCTCCAACGCTCCAAATCCGTCTCTCTCAATCGTTCTGTGATTCACATAAAGTAATGGAATCTTTTTTGGTTCAGTATTGCAAGTGGGATTATTACATTTGTATGTTTTAATTATACTTGGTTCGGACTCAAATAATTCACTCTAAATGGCCCCAATATTATTTTCTGTATTTAGAAAATATGGCTCGAGTGAAGTTTTTGTCTCCGTTGAGTTATTGAGTAAAATTTTTTCAGAATCAGGAATCGTTTGAAAAAAATATCGTTTGTTGGTCCTTTCTTCATAAAAGCATTAACTAATTGTAATGTCTCGTTGGTAGATGATTGAATTGCTGAATAATAAACTGAATCATCTATTGCACTAAAGTGAAGTATTTGAATAATTGAATCAAATCCACATATATTTTCAACAAATATTGTTTTCTTTTCGAATTTTACCGGTTTTAATCTTAAACTATTTGGCAGTAAAAATCCTTTTCTCTGTGGCCTTCTCATTTCATTAATGACTTTTATTTCCGGGTACGGTTTGAAATAACAACTTGATGACACTTGAGGTTTGTCATTATTACGTATTGTCATTAACGTCTTGTTCTTTCTTTTGTTTTCGTTAGTATCTGTCTTGTTTTCTTTAATTAGTCGTTGTTCGTTTGGATTTATAATTTTTGAATATGAATGGTCAAGTAATAGTGTACTTGAAGAAATAGGAATCGCAGAAAATGATGGAGTATCATCAACAAAGAGTAGTTCTTTACTTTCTAAATTTAACATTTTGGAAATAATAACTGTCTGATTTTGTAAACTTTCAGTTTTATCCTCAAGTTGAGAGTCATGTTGTTTATTGAATGATTGTTGGTAGTTGATGAAACCATCATGAATGCAATTAACATCAGCATATTCTCTGTCTGATTTGCTCAATTTTGTATCTGAGTTAGAAATCTGATAGATGTTTTCCTTATGTTCTAAGTTAAAAATTGTTTTATCTTGGTCATTCAGTGTTTCTACATGTTTCTGATCAACTGAAGTATCTTGATCATTTTCAAAAACATCATTTTTAATTAACTAATCCTCTCCATAATTCGCACGATCTCAAATCTGAATCATTGATTATATTATAAATCTTTTGAACCTGAAAGCTTGGAATTGACTTAACGTTAGGATTTGTTACATTTAGCTCATCATGTTTTTCAGTCTTAAAATTAGATTCTGTGTGTGCTACAGGTAGTCTTTGCATATTAAAATGTTTTAAAATTGGAGCGAATAAATTTGCAGCACCAATCAAATCATTTATGTGCACCCTTAAGAAACGATTTACGGTCATCGGTTTAGGGAAATCTTTGAAAATTTTAGTTTTTAAATCGGCAAAATATCCTTCTATATATGCTGTCGATGCATGCCTCTCTTTGTTTGGTATAATAGCGGCAGTCCACAATGGAAACTCTTTAGTTATTCTCTCAATTTGATCAACAAAATCAGGTAAATAAAAGCCGTTTATTTCACTTCCAGTTTTCTTGTTAAGATCTGTAGGTTTGATCATGTTTATTAAAGATTTTATCCATCGATGAGTAATAGTTAAATTCTTATTATCACTGGGTTCAACTATCTGAATATCTTGATACTCCTTTTTGCAAGAAGTTGCTGAAGCTTCTAGTTCTTCGATTATAGAACCTCGTACAGATGTAAATTTTTCAAGAGTTTGCCTTGCTTCTTTAACTGACAGTTGAAACTCTGGTAAAATAATAATAGTGTTTTCGTAAGGTTGGAGTGCTACAGCACATGTTAACATCATGACTCGTTTGAATTCTTCAACAGATTGGCAGTCAATCATCAGTGCAATTGTGCGAAGGTAAAAACTTTTCAAATATGGATGTTTCTGACTCTTAATGCATTCCCATTTAGCACAAAAATGCATTACATGAGCTAAGTCTATTCTTAAGAATGTAACTGGTCGCCATTGGTCGTGATTGGCCGTATTATCCTTCTTTATTGCTGATAAAAACAACGAGTCAACATAATTCTTGATTGTCTGTTGATTAAATGCTCCACATAAAGCTGCTAACAAAGCACGAGACCAATCACAATAAGCCTCCTTTGGTGGAGAAGCTCCCATACGCAGCCAGCTTTTGAGCCAATATTCAATAAATTCAGTATTATGTTTCTCTGACAACATTTGATTCACTGCCACTGTCGTTTGTTCAAAATTAATAACTATTGAATACAAAAAAATATGATTTGATTTTCGATCTAAACAAGTCTCACGCACACGCACACGCACACGCACACACACACACACACGCGCGCGCGCGGGCGGGTGCAAGGGGGCGGCCTTCGGCCAATCCCCCGCACCCACACCGTCACAGTGGTCTGCCCCGACAGTACAATCACAGCAATAGTACAATCGTAGAAGTCGTGTGCCCCTGTGCAGGAGGGGGGAGGGGTAAAAGTTACTTCGCATAGAAAGTTCAACGTTTCTGAACAGGGAAAGGTGTAGAATAGGACTTCATATTATACATGTATAGCAGAAATAATACGTTAATTTTGAAACTTTTTTTGTTAATAACTTTTTAAAGAGTTAGGTCCGACGGTTAAAACTTCCTCAAGGTCACTCAGGGTCATGACCTTGACAACATATGTCAAGGTCAAGGTCATTGGAGGAGGCTCCCCTAATCTACATTTTTACCGTAAAGTTTTGTACTACACTTACTACATCCACTACACTCGAGCTTTGTTCGTTTTCGCAATGTGTAAAATCTATTGAATTACAAAATAGCGACTTTCCCCAAATGAAAATAATAATAAAGACGTTTTCCCCAAATGATTTCCGATCGATTCCATTCATAAAATTCATTAAATAAAATCGCTGTCTGCTAACTTGTCGCATGAGAAAATTTGTTAATAACAAGAAAAATACTATTACCCATATGTTTAAATGCTTTTCCCAAATTTCCCCAAACGATTCCTAAATTATGTACACATAAATTAATCAAAAATATGCAGTTTGTCTGCTATCTTGTCAGTGGTATAGAATTACCCCCAGTCCTCAAATTTCCGACAATGCGTATTCTAGTACTACTATCTCTATGGGTGTTTTCCAGCTACGAAACACAGTGTAACACTGTGTGACACAGTGTTACACAGGGTGCGTTCCGAGTTACGCATGAAGCGCGTATACTGCATTACTGGTGCGTAACGCTTTGAAATCGTTCCGTCAAAGCGCATGAAGTGCTTTAGTTATTCGGAAATATTTCCTATGCATTCTATGCGAGTTCAAGATGGACGCTATACAAGACGTCAATAAACAATTTCTAATAATTGTAATTTCTTCTTTAATACTTTTAAAGAAAAATAATGAAAGTTTCGATGACAGAGAGAGAGTTCCAACTCGAGCGATAGTGAAAATGAAGTCGAAGGCATATCTCTAAGTGATATGCAGAAAATATTTTTTCTATTAATAGTAGATAAATCACGTGGAAAACAAATTGGAGTTGAAAAAATTATAGATTACGTCGATCGCGTAATTCCTAATTAATATAACGTCTAATCTATACATTAAATAAATCAAAGTAAAATAATGCCATTAATTTTGATAAAAATATTTAAGGACTTTTAATATAACAATATTCAATGTAAATTAAAAGGGCGAAGTAAGAGTCAGAAGTAAATTACATTTAAAATAATATTAAAATGTTAACATAATAGAGAAATATTACAAAAAATTGCTTAAAATTAAAAACGTTATGCCCGTTACTTAAAATTAAAAACATGCTGCGCGTAACAATTGTTAAAATTAAAAACATGCTGCGCGTAACAATTGTTAAGCAATTTTTGTAATATTTCTATTGTAAATATGTTAACATTTTAATATTATTTTAAATGTAATTTACTTCTGACTCTTACTTCGCCCTTTTAATTTTTGTTGAATAATGCCATTAATTTTATCTTGGCTTACTTTCGCTATATCCTCTTCATTTAAAAATAAAGTTAATACTTTATTTTTATCCTCTAATAAGAAATCATGCAATTGCTGTAATCGTTGTTCCATCGCAAATCGCAAATATTCGTCCATTCATTGTTGTATTGTCCGGTACTCGTTGCTCGTTCCGAATTACAAATCATGCGCATAGACCGCATAAACGCATCAGACGCATCAACTGCCTTAGGTCGAAAGAGAAGCAGTCACGGAGTATTAAGAAGGAGTAAAATCTCCATAGCCTGATCGCCTGAAAAGTGTCCTCGTTTCGATTGTCAATA